GCTAGAGAGCTCTATCTGTGACATACACTTCCGCAGAAGCTCCCGTTATAGCAGTAAACTCTGCACATGGAGCAGAGGTGGGGAGCAGCCTCGGACAAGAAATCAAGCTCGTACTTCTAGTCCTCCAGGACGTCATTGCCGAGGGTAGGAGCATCCCCGACGGACGGAGGATGGGCAGGGTTAGAGACCAGAGCTGTGGCGTAGTCAAGGCCGCTGGTAGAGGCGAAGTCATTGACAGCAGCGACAAGAGCGTCAAGACTCGAGACACGAACAGACGGGTCGGTAACAAGGGAGGCAATGACCCAAGGAACAACAGGACTAGCGGCACGAAGGAAGGCAAACAGAGGAGGCGGAGTGACAACAAGCGACGACGGAGGAGACGACAGGAGGAGGGGAGGACGAGACGCGTTGGAACGAAGCAACATAGGGTGAGAGTGCTGGACAGGATAGACAGGACGAGCACGAGAGGGATGGCGAGACCAGATGTGGGACGGAGGTGTCGGGTCAGGAGACACAAAAGATGAAACAGGAGGAGAACGAGGGGGGAAACGAGCCGGAGACAAGTCCAGGGGCGGAAACACAGGGCCACAGATAGGCAGGAGGCGGCGACTGCGGTGATTGCTGCTGCCACGGCGGCGACGACGGCGATTGCTGCTGCTGTGGCGGCGGCGGTGGCGGAGGAGGATATTTTGGGGCGGAGATAGGCAGCAAAACCAAAGCCGCGGGGCCACTGGAGTCAGCCGACTACTCCAACGGGACAACCGACGGGAGGGGAGTGACGTGAGACACACCAGTCAGGGCAGGACGGGGAGGGAGAGGAGCACGGGCTACTGGGGGAGTGGGAACCAGAAACAGGGGCGAGGAAACTGGGAGACCTCGGTGGGGAAAGCGGTGGTAGAAGGAGACAGACTCGTCAAAAGTGACGTCACGCGAGTGAAAGAAGCGGTGAGAAGGTGGGAGGTAAAAGTGCCAGTGAGATGTGTCAAAGGGGAAACCAAGGAAGCCACAGGGGACAGTGCGGGCAATGAGCTTGTCCGTGCTAGATGCATGAACGTGAGCAAGGCAGCCCCAGACGTGGAACGCAGATGCGTCACCAGGGAACCCGGTCTAGAGAAGGGTCGGTGAAACCTGCGGGCGCTGGGAGTGCGGCCACAGGTTAAGCTGGTGAGCGGCATAGCGAATGACGAACGACAACAGAAAATGGGGTGCACCGACATGGATCATGGAGGTACGGGCTACCTCCATTTCCAAACCGATGTGTCACTCAGCGACCCCATTCAACTGCGTGGAGTCCGGCAGGGTGTACGATTGGGAGATGCCCTCCGCACGACAGAAAGGCCAAGTCGTCCGAGGCAAACTCGCCGCCACAGTGCGAGTGAGACGCAGCACAGGGAGGCCTCGGTGGACTCGCGCATCTACGACCCACAGGATAAGAATGCCAGGCACGTCGGCCTTCCACTCTAGGGGAAACACTGTTGTGTAGCGCCTGAAGTCGTCAACAAGCACTAGAAAGTAGCGCTCTCGATGCGGCCCCAAACGTCCATGTGCAGTGTCTGGAGTGGCGTAGTGGTAGGGGCCCCTTGCTCGCTAGTGGCCCGCTGCTCGCCGACCCCTGCTCCCCGGCCCCAGCACTCCCGGCCCCAGCTCACGTCAGTCCAGCTCCCACCGGCTCTAGTCTGCACCAGCCCCAGCTCCCGCCGGCCCCTGCTCGCCCGCCCCCTTCTCGCCGGACCCTGCTCGCGCCGGACCCGGCCCGTGCCGGCCCCAGCTCCGCCGGCACATGTTCTCCGACCCCTGCTTGCCGCCCCCCTGCTCTCCAGCTCCAGTTTGCCAGCCCCATTCGCCGCCGGCCCTAGCTGTGAGAGTACGATTCCGTTACACCACTTGTTCTTCTTCTCTTTCCTTCCTATTTTCATTCCTCCTCTATCTCATCTCATTTGGTTTCCTATTCCCCATTTTCGATTAACCTTTGGTTATCCTGCTATTATAATTATATCACCGACCAGGCTTGGATGTACTGGTGCGCTATCTGGCGCAATCCTGCCGTAATCCCTTAAAGCCAATAGCCTCGCGTGGCTATACGCACGGTGATTCTATATTCTAGAAGGGTCTATTCCTTTGGGATAAGATAAACCTGGTTACCTGATGTACTCTGGAAGTATAAAAGCACCTTGTATCGATCGACAGTGCAATCTTTCCTCGAGTCATTCGATCCTGTAACACTTGGTAATCAGAGCTTTTCTCACTCGACCGCGCTCAGCTAAGAAGCAGCACCGGGGGATCCTGCCTCGAAAAACCGCCGGGGGCGACCTTCGACGCCGATTCTGGTAAGCACCAGCTCCGCGCTTTCTCGAATTACCCCCCCCCGCGGTGTTTTGAACAGGATGGCGAACTTCAACAACGACAAAGTTACCCAGCAGCTCTTTTGCGCGCATCGCAGCCCTTCAGGAGGAAATGCGAGCGGATCGCGAAGCGTGGCGAAACGAGTTCGAGCGAGTAACTCGACTCGCCGGAGCGCAACACGAAACGACAACGGCGACGACGCAGTAGTCGCAGCAGTTTTCTCGAGGCTCCGAAACCACGCCCACCTGAGCCGGTCGATCCGAGCGATCGAAACTCCGACGTCCGCAGATGGATCGCTGGCATGGAGATCTACTTCGCAGCCGTCGGATGGAGCTCTCCAGCTTGGGACGGTCAACGCGTACGACTCGCGGCAACACTGATGCGAGGGCCGGCACTCGAGTGGATTGGCGGCAACAGCACCTTCATCCACGGTGAAGCCACGTGGCAGCAGTTCCGCACCGACCCGCTGAAACGTTTCGAGCAGATAAATTCGGGTTTCCTTGCCCGCGAAAAAAATTCATCGACACCGACACTTCGGGAGTGTAGCGCAGTACACGCAACAGATGGAGGAATTTATAACCGCATTCCCGATCTGACCAAAGGGGAAAAAGTGCAGTCGTACCTCGCCGGCTGAAGACCAAAGTCAAACGACAAGTGGGCAGCGTCAAACTACGCGAGCTACAGTGACGTCGTTTCGGCAGCGGAGCGCTTCGACATGGTCAACGCCGAGACACGACGGACGCAGGTCGGCAGTACGCGACATGGCGACCGCTCGGCTCACACCATATTCGCCGACCCGATGGAAGTCGACAGGTTCGAAGGGCGGCCACGTCTGAGAAACACCAACTACACGTGTGATTTTTGCGGGGTGCCGGGTCATCGAATCTTCGACTGCAACAAAATGAAAGCCGCACGCGCCGAGTATCGGGCACGCAACAGTGGCGGAAATCCTTCGGCCAATCAGAAGCCAAAAAATGGAGCTCGCCAGTGATTGCGGATCTAGCTGGCGAAAAAGAAAAGATCCGAAAGCGGCCGCGGACTTCCGGAAAATCAACTCCGACGCAGCTGATTCGACGCGAACAGGAGAAAATTATGGGGAAAAATCTCCACCCCACGACCAGTCTTGGCCAGTGGGAAATCGCCGAGGAAAATATAACTCCGCGAAAAAGGACTCTTGCGAGACGGGAAAACTCCTTGAAGACCCAAGAAATTATAAGGATTTGTTAAAGTTATCCTACAAAGATGCTTTAATGGAAACTTGTAATTCTCGAGGGGCTAGAGCCTTGGAGAAATTTCGGGGAAGGACTCCAAAAGAAGCAGAAAATTGTGGAGATCGTACCAGTACCAGAGAACTTGGAGACCAAATTAAGGAGGTGTGGAAAGAAGCCGACCTTTCCATGGAGTCAACGTCCTCTCCATGGAAAAGCGCCGAACTCCTTCTTCTTCGGATGCATCCAACTCGGCAAATTCGTCAACGACACGAACTATCATCACGGAAACTCCGGGCCCTGGAGAAAAAACCTTTCTCCAAGCAGCCTCGGCCAGCTGCCAGCTCTGGAGTAGGAAGCAACGAATATTGGGATGTACCCTATGACCCAATCAATGAAACTATCTTTGGGTACTCCGAGCAACGCCTGCACCTCGTGCTCGAGGTCATCTGCAAAGGACGACGCCTCCAAGCACTCGTGGACAGCGGAGCATCGTACACCGTATGCGACAAGGCAACCATCGACCGACTTCGAGAAGAGTGCAAGCCATCAGCGTTTTCTGCAACGATGGTGGACGGTAGCAAGTTACCAGTGTACGGCGAAGCAGTGCTATACCCACAAATCGGTCCACTGCGCTGGAAACCTGCTCTCCCCATCACCAACATAAAAGGGCTTGACCTGCTCTTCGGGCGAGACTTCCTCAAGAAATTGAACCCCGAGATCAACTGGGTAAACCGCACCGCAAGCATGTACAACAAAGGAAGGAGAGTCCGGCTACCCAACTGGGACTACACAGGAGATATCCCAGTGGAGACACTCGCCAGATTCGAGAAGGACGTGAAGCGAACCGACACCGGGTTCCTGGCAATAGCAACAGAGGTGGAGAATGACGGAGAGAAAGCCTCGGAACCTCCGAAAAAATCAAGGACTTACTGAAGGAGTTCCAAGACATTCTTCCCGACGACCTCCCGGACGAACTACCGCCAACCGAACGCACCAACATGAGATCGTGGAGGAGTCGGGTTCGAAGCCGACCTTCCGAGCACCATATCGGCTAATCCCCACAGAACTAGCCGACATGAAGAAGCAAATCGAGTATCTCCTCGCCAAGGGACTCATCCGACCATCCACTTCACCATACGGTGCCCCAGTATCCTTCACGCCGAAACCGGACGGAAGCCTGCGCATGTGCATCGACTACGGAGCTCTCAACAAGCAGACCATCAAGAATAAACATCCGATACCGCGAATCGATGACCTGCTTGACCAGCTTCGGGGAGCTACGGTATTTTCCAAACTGGATCTGCGGTCCGGATATTGGCAGATTCGGATGGCGGACAACTCTATCCACAAAACTGCTTTCCGAACTCGGTACGGATCGTACGAGTATTTGGTAATGCCCGTTCGGACTCACCAACGCACCGGCAACGTTCCAAGCCGAAATGAACCACATTCTATGACCAATTTTGGACGAGTGCGTGGTGGTATACCTGGACGACATCCTCATCTACTCGTGCGACATGAAGCAGCACGTCGAACACCTGCGACGCGTCTTCTAAATTCTTTGACGAGACGGTTCTACGTCACACTGTCCAAGAGCGAATTTTCCATTGAAAAGGTCCAGTTCCTAGGACACATGGTGAGCGCTCAAGGAGTTCACGTCGACCCCAAGAAAGTCGAAGCCGTATACGTGGAAGACACCCGAGAACGTGAAGGAGTTGCAGCAGTTCCTAGGCTTCGCGAATTATTACAACAAGTTCGTGCCACAGTATGTGAAACTCGCAGCACCACTCACGAATCTGCTGAAGAAGAAACACGAACTACAAATGGGAAACCAAAGCACAAAGAAGTCGTGGAGCAGCTGAAACAAGCACTCACGTCTGCACCGGTACTCATCTTGCCAAATCGAAGCTGACGCTAAGCGACCAGGCAAGTGGGAGCAGTCTTGATGCAAGACCAGGGGAATGGCCTGCAACCAATTGCCTACCTCAGCAGGAAGCTACATGGAGCAAGAACTCAACTACCCGATACACGACAAGGAGGCCCTTGCTATCATCATTGCCTTCAAAACGTGGAGATGTTATCTCGAAGGGCGCAAGACGACAGTCTACACCGACCATTGCAGCCTAAAACATTTGAAGACACAACCAAGCCTCTCCAGGCGGCAGGTCCGGTGGATTGACTACCTCGAGACACACTTCCACTACGACATCGTGTACAAGCCCGGCTCCAAAAACAAAGCAGACGCTCTTAGCCGGCCTGCACACGTTGTTGCTATTCAGATTGAAGGGTGAATCCACTACGCAAGGGACTCTTCACACACGGGTACACCATCGACCCCGAAATTCCCTTGGCAGAAAACGACATCTGGTACAATGGGACAATGACATCGCGTACCGGAAAGGATCAACGAAAATCTGGGTACCCGATTACCTCCATTGCGCTAGTTACTACTCGAAGAATACCACGACGTCCTATACGCCGGACACTTCGGTAGCGAACAAGACGCTGACC